GAGAACCGCCTCGTTGAACGGCAACCGCTTGAAGACCCTGAGGCGTGCCAAAACGTTGCTCTCGGGATCCCAGCGCAACGGATCAACTTGACTGTTGCGTCTTGACGAACCTGCATCGTGCCAAAACGCCTTCCCTGTGATTTCAACGCCGCGAACCACTGTAACTGTTGCACCCTCCTAGCCCCGGCTTCTTCCGAAATGCAATTGCTGATACGTTGATCATGGGAATCCGCGAATCTTTTGCGCATGTTCAAAACGAATGTGCGCGGCACAACGGCGAGAGTCCCATGTCGAAGAGGAGCCGCCTTCAATCCGCGACGCACTTGCAGTGTTCGAGAACGAATGTGCGCGGCGCTGAGGCGAGAACCACATTTTGAAGCCAAGGAGCCGCCATCAATCTGTGAAGCTCTTACAAAGCTGTATGAGGAAAATGCGCGGCACTGAGGCGAGAACCACATTTTGAAAACGATCCGCCCTCAATCCGTGATGCTTTTACAAATAGTTAAAACGAAAGTGCGAGGCGATAAGGCGAGAGCCACATTTTGAAAACGACCCGCCCTCCATCTGTGAAGCTGTTGCCACTGTTTCAGCTTCAGGACCATAGATGATGTGGCAATCTCAGCCGAAACGCTCGGCCCGCCCTAAAAACTTGCCTCGGGGTGCGACGGGGAAAATATGATCATACCTACCGGTGTGATCTCGCACTGCATTATTGCGACCGACCGACCAGCTGTGCCTGGAATGTGCGCTGGACTGGGATGTGCGCTGGGGCGTGTGCTGCCTTCGTGTGGTGCTGGGATACGTGCTGGCACGTGTGCTGGCTCAGTGGCCGTGTGCTGGGATACGTGCTAGGGTGTGGCCAGGCTGCGTGCCACCCCCGTGTGCTATGCCTGCCCCTCCGCACCCCTCCGCCCCGTGACCCCCGCCTGCTTACTCCCACCGACCGACCGTGCCCCCCCCCGGCCAGACCGTGCCCTCCCGCCCGCTTGCTCCCCCCCAGCGCCCTTCCGCCTCGCGGCCCCCGTCTGCATGTTTCGACCGACCGACCGACCGTGCCCTCCCCTCTGCCCCGTGGCCCCCGTCCGCTTATTCCGACCGACCGACCGACCGACCGTGCCGACCGTGCCCCCCCGTCTGCCCGACCGTGCCCCCCCGCCCCCTACTCCCCGTGCGTATTCCCCCCCCGCCCCCTACTCCCCGTGCGTATTCCGACCGA